GGGGAACCAGATGAGCAAGGTCAAAAGAAAGTTGTGTTTTCAGTCCCATGATTAAAACTCTCCTGAATGCCACAGGATCACAAGAGCCTGGGGCATGAGATGTCAACACACCAGTTGGGAAAAGCCCAAGCACTGCTGACTTTTGTGTGGTAGGGCTTTGTAGATTTCCAGCTGGAGATATGATGTAGTCATAACGCACTGCCAATCCAACCGTAATTCCACAGATTTCCCCCTTGTGCAGCATCGCTGACATGCTGCCTCTCCGCATCTTTCCCTCTGGCTCAAGAACAGTGGAAGATCAGGCTAAGGAGACTCCAAATGCCGAAGTGACCTCTCCTCTCAGCTGTGCTGTGGTGAATGACCCTGACCACAACTTCAAGCCCAGAAAACACATTTACCAGTTCCCTGGTCAAGTGTGGCCCAGGCTTTAATCCAGCCAAGGCTTCTCTTTGAGCTCTTGCTTCATTAATCCTCCCCGTGCCCATCTCTCTGGATTCAGAGTCACAGGTCTGGGTTGGTCCAGACACCGGCGTTTTTTATAATTAGTTAGTTTATAATTAGAACCAGTGCTCTCAGAAATCACCCAACCGGTTCTTCCCCTGCCTTGTGCCATCTGCATCAGTCAGAAACACCAGAGAGATGGCTTCAAGCAACTCATCAGGGCCCCCTGCATCCCACTCCTTCCCTAAGGCTTTGTATTAATCCAATCTCAAGACAATCTGTGGTCCTTGGGTCTTACCTTAGACACCTAGCCTGTGCCCTACCCAGATTGCAATTGATCATTGCAATATCAAATTTTTTCAATCCAATTCACACACCCTTGAGGTTGAACTCCTTTAGAAGATCATGTCAGGACAGTACAAGAGAGGCACTCTTCATTCATTCATTTATTAAACAGGCAGGTACTGAGTACTCATTATGGGTCAGACATAGTGCGAGGCTCTTGGGATACAATGGTCAGTGATACCGAAGAGTGGAGCTGTGAGAGAGAGAGAGTAGCTTATATCACCAGCATTTGACAAGAAGCCTGAGCCCAAATCTGTTTTTTCCCTTTCTCTCACATATCAACCAACACTGACTCCAGACCCATGAGTGCTTGCCTAGGGCTGAGGCTGGCCTTATGGATCACTGCACAAACATTGCCACTTGTCACTTGCTCTACTGCTCAGTGTCTGACACCAGCTCTCCTTATCCATAAATAATTCAACACCAAAAATCATTTATTTACTCAGAATGATTGAGGCCCAAGCCTTCGTCCCCAAATAGATTTCCTTTCAAAAGACATCTTGGTTCTGGTTCCATGTGGTAATTGTGTAGTTTCAGGATTGAGTCTTCCATGGCATGTGTGCACAAAGGACATCAATTAATCCATCCCCTCCCTCATTTGAGACTCTTTATAAACCCACAGCCATGAGCCATTGGTTCTGTTGCCAACACTAATGAAGATCCCTCTTAACGTAGGATGTTCCCCAAATAACCGAGTGTGTGTGAATATATCTTTCCAAGAGGGACCCAAAAAATATGTTTGTGTCCATCACAGATGTGAAGTGATATGTATTCCTAGGAAAATGGCCCAGGAAGGAATGACTCAGCAATTGACATTAGTATATCCGTGATTTAATAATTTTAAGTTCTAATTTTCAGTTTTCACTTTTAAGTTTTCAAATTAAATTTTATAACTATATGGACAAAGGAGAGTGATTAGATACAAACCAAAAAAAAATCAGGGAAAAATTGATCTACAGAGATTTTCAATATGAGAAATATGAACTGAGCAAGAGATCTCAGAGACATGCAGAAATAAGGGCAGAAAGAAATACATCAACAAGAGATGTGAGCTGTGCGCTGAGTGGCTTAGTCAGGTTAAGTATCTGTCTTCAGCTCAGGTCATGATCCCAAGATTCTGGGATGGAGCCTTTTGTTGGGCTGCCTGCTCAGAAGCTGCTTCTCCGTCTGCCGCTACCCTCCTCATCTCATGCATGGGCTCTCTCTCTAATAAAATCTTTAGAAAAGAGAGAAAGAGACGGATGAGCCACACACACATATGTGCCAAATTCTGAGACTGGGAAGGGAGGGAAAGTGACATGAAAGACAGTTCTGTTGTGTAATCCCAGCTCCTGGAAGCATTGCTCTCATACTGAGAGTGAATTCTGTTTTGTAATACCTGCTTTCAACTTGAGTTTAGCATGAGGGTAGCTTGATATAATGAAGAGTCACCAGCAGGATTTGGAAAGGTAAATGAAGGCAGGTTCTGCCATCAGGCTGAGTGGAACTCAAAGCCTGCTTCTACTATTTCTGACTGTGTATGACCTCGGCCCAACTAATGAACAACTCTGGACCTCAGTCCATTTATGTGTCATTTGGGGCTAATAATCCCCACCTCACAGGATTTCGTGAGGACTAAACAAGATGACAAAAGTGTTTGGTAAGAATTACCTTCCTTTCCTCTTCCTAAAATATTTTTGGAATAGCTAATTGTTGGAAAAAGAGCAAGAACATCTAACACATTTAAAGAACTTGGACATTTTGCATACCATACTTCATGTCCTTAGGGTTTTAAGAAGACATGCCTTAGATCAGCACTGATGAGCAGAACTTTCTGCAATGAAGGAGATGTTCCAGATCTACATGCCTGATACCACAGTTTCTGCCCTCATGTGCTTATTGCCCCCTTGAGATGCCATTAGTTCACCTGTGGGACCGACTTCGTAGTTTTATTTCTAGTTATTATATTTTTTAAAGATTTTATTTATTTATTTGACACAGAGAGAGAGAGAGATCACAAGTAGGCAGAGAGGCAGGCAGAGAGAGAGGGAGAAGCAGGCTCCCCGTGGAGCAGAGAGCCCGATGTGGGGCTTGATCCCAGCACCCTGAGATCATGACCTGAGCTGAAGGCAGAGGCTTAACACACTGAGCCACCCAGGTGCCCCGAGTTATTATAAATTTAAATAGCCATGTGTGGCTATCTGCTTACTCAATTGGACAGCACTCCTTCACATCTTCCTGGGTCTTTGACCATCAGGTTCTCCTGCCTTGGGGAGGCAGAAGAGTAAGTTGAAGCATGTAGACTCTGGAATCAGTCTGCCTGGAATGAAACCCCAGCTCACCACTGGCAGAGCTCACGTAAGCACATTATGCCTTGGTTTCTTCATCCGTGAAAGGGGAATGTCAATGACAACAACCGTGCCTCATAGAAGATGTTGGGAGGAATAAATGGGTTAAGGCAAGGAAGGGCACTGTGATTATTTACTCGATAAAAACAGTCCTTGTGCTTTATTGCAACTGTGCATTTACCCCCCTGGAATACCCACTAGGCTATAAGCATTGTCATAACACCAGTGCCAAAGACCATACCTGGTACAATTAGACTCTCAAAAAATAAGTGTTTAAAAAAGTATTGTAGGGACAGAGGAAGGGAGGGAGGGAAGTGGAGAAGGATGGGGAGAAAGAGGAGGAAGAAAGAATAAATGATGTAGGCAGTCATGTTTTCCATGAGAAGTGAAGAAAGCCTCTAAAATAAAGCAAATGACAGAATATGAACGCTTTCAATAAAAATTTCAGTAGAGATGACCACTGAAGATGAAGACAGAGAAGGTCCTCTGGGGGAAGACATACTCCCAAGATGACAGTGAAGGGATTTGATAGCTCAGAGAACCACGGAGAGAGAAAGATGGACTTAGGGGTCTTGTCAATACCACATCTACAAAAATAAAACCTTCCATCATTTAAAATTGTGTTCAACCAAGCTTCTTCAAGAGAACACAGTTTTGGACTGTGTGACCCTATCTGTGGAGGTTACAGTCTAATTCAAAAGGCCCCGTTGGCAACGAAGAATGTGTTTGTAGGTTTTCTATTCGTAAGTTTTTATTAATGCTACGTGCACCAGTTCCCCCCAAAAAGCAGTGTTGGGCAAGTTTTCATAACTGTTTATTCATTATAAATAGTAAATATTTACTGCACTTTTTACATGAAAGACATTTTTACAACACATTGTTGTTGGTTGAGACCGCAACACAGAGAAAGCACTTCTCTTGACCCATCACCCTCTATGACCAACGCATGAACTAAACTGGAACTACGTCTAGTCTCACTACCCCACTACGTCATCGTTCTTAACTCTAAAGGGAATGTACTTGTGCCTACCTCGTTCATGGTTCCAAGAAGAGAAAGAAATAAATAACACTGCCTTCCACCCTCTCATTCCTCTTAACAGCTCGAAAAAAACAAATTTATTGACATTCTAAAATGTCACCACACAAACGTATGTAAACCTCGGTTCCTATAATCTTTCCATATTGGATATCCTTGTATAATTTAAAAGTACACGAGAGCCATGTGGACATTTCTGCTCTTGCCCTGCCTTTCATAGAAAAGAGAAGAATGTAAACGTCGTCATTGTAAAAGCATGATTCTCGAACACGGTCTCTAGTCAAAGGGAGCAAGCCGGGTGTTGGTTGTCCATTAAATGGCGAACATCATGCATTCTACCGCAATGAATCATGGGCTGCGAAAATAAAGCACCTGCAAAAATATAGTTCTGGTTCTGTTTCTACGGCCCTGGCCATTGCCAAAGCATCCGTGAGGTACACAGTATTGCACACCGATAAGCAGCTGTGGGAATGCTCGTCACTTCCTCTCCACCGCACTTCCTTCTCCCCACCCCGGCCAGGTTGGCTTCAAAATGAAAATGAGCTGGGAAAATGTCCCATACCTCTTCCCACACCGAGAAAGAAAACAAGCTTTTTCTCCCTGTTATCCCATATCCTGTTCACAAGGCTGTCCGCCCCGGGACCTTTATTGACAACTGGGTTACAAATGAGGACAAGATCACAAATAATTTATTTGGGAGGTCCTTTACATCTAGTCTAACTTCCTAAAAAATGGTGCCATTTATTTTTATATCAATTTCCAGTGTGTAGAAAAGTCAAGGATTCCTCCATTCCTGCTTCGTTACGGGAGCAGTTTCAAAATTGTGTAAGTGTCAGCATTAAGCATCAAACCTTTATAGTTTAGAGTACTCTCCGGCTATATTTTAGAACATTCTGCTTGCCTGAACCAGTCCAGATAAATCTCACACGCAGAGACACACACGCACACGCGCACGTGCACACAACTGGAATGTTTTGGCTCCTTGATCATCAGCGCTGAAGAGCTGGGGTATTTGATATGTAGCCATGTTAAATCATTGCCTTCAAATGTTGCATTTGTCTTTTCACTGTTCCAGGTCCTTCCTTTCTTCCACTGCTTTTGTCCAATATGTTCAAAAGAATTTGAAACCAACTACTGGAGAAAAAAAAAAAATCAATCACTCTTCTTCATGTCCTGGTGAGACTGCCCCCCAAAAAGGTGATTTTTTTTTTTTCTGAAAGGATTCTTCATGTGTAGGCTGTGGAGACCAGAAACAGGGCCAGTTTTAGCTCCAAGTGGACAGTTCACTTATGCGATATCTGGCTTGAGATAATGAAAGGCACCTGTAAGGAAACACACGTAGCTTTTTAGGTCATGCTGGGACAATTCACAGCAAGGGGCAAAATCAGCTACAGGCTGACAATGTCATATTTAATACCATGGTATCAAAGGATCGAGACTAATATTTTTATTACAGAGACAAGTTTGACACAAGTCTGTGTCCTTGGGATTATACCCCATATGATCCTTGAGCTGACCTCATTAAGAACATGTGTTTCTAATCCCAGGGGTTATTTCATTTCGGCCAACCCTCGTGTTTCACCTAGTGGCAATCAGCCTTCACGTCGCGGCAATTAATAACCGCAAGATATTGTTGACATCACTTAAGAAAATAACGATATAAGAGAGCCCTTGCTGGAACAGTCGGTGGGCTTTGCCAAAAACGGATACTGGGATGTCAGGCCTAATCACGCTGCCTCCGCCTCCACCGCCACCGCCGCCGCCCCTTTCTTAAGGAAGGGTAGAGATTTTTCATCCTGTCAGGAGTAATTAGCCCCAGAGAGACCAAGGCTTACTTTGTCCATACTGCCCATATTGGTAGCCTGTGACAGGGTCCATACTGTAGCCCGTGGTGCTATAGGTAGGTGGACAGTAGGACTGAGATGTTGGCAGACTGTCCAAGCTCTTCATATGGTCTAGTCTCTGACTGCAGCTGGCCGACACCGTGGTGGTAGGTTCCAGGCCCCCGGTGAGAGGGGAGAGAGCATAATCGGTCTGGGGCTGATGGGGTACGCCACCGTGGTTGGTCAGGAGTCCCATTACCTAAAATAAACAGGCAGATTGGGAGGAAGTAAGAATGCAGAGAGGACCAGATCATAGCTGAGAGCTGAAAGGATAACTGGGAAAGTCCCATTTTTATTTCTTCGGAAATCTGCTGGGACAGAAGACACTGACCAAAACGCCAAGGGACACAGCCCCGCACCATGCCCAGTGATAACATCTGACTATGGCTTCAGAAAAAGGAAAGGCGGGGAGGGAAAAGGAAAAGAGGTCGAAAGAGAGCCTCACCACGCTTCTAGAGATAAAATGAGACTAGGATTTCAAAGGAGGGAAAAGGAAGGAAGGACAGAAGGATGGAGGGAGAAATTATATCTGCTCATATAGAACAATGGCTAATCATATATTACAGCTGGAAGTTCCACATGTGATTTTAAACATTCACTTACATATTTTTTTTTAAATTCAATGGATTAAAATAAAGTTCTTTTTGTGTATTTTAAGATACCTACGTCTATTCTCAGAGTGTTCCCTCCAAGAAAGTTCCTCTCCCTATCTTGGCCATCCTTAAGTAATCACAGATAGTTACTCCCTCCCTGATGCTCCTGAGTGCTTTCCTCATCCCTCCCACTGTGCAGTCATGACTTTGATCACCTACTTTGAATTGTGAGAGTTTTGAGGTCAATAACCTACTCACCTTTATATTCCTAGCACCTACCTTCGTACTTGACACATACTTAGTACTGAAGGAAGGAAGGAGGGAGGGAGAGGGGAAGGAAGGGAAGAAGGGAAGGGAGGGAGGGAGGGAAGGATGGACAGAGGAAAAGAGGGAAGAAAGGTGGGAGGAAGGAAGGGAAGGGCAGAGAAGGGCAGGGAAGGGAGAAGGGAGGAAGGGAGGAAGGAAGGAAGGAAGGAAGGAAGGAGTGGTGAACAATTTTCCAAGTAACTGCCTCCATTCCCTGCCTTTTCATTTCTTATCTAAATATTTCATATATAAGAAGGTGTTAAAAGGAAAGAAAAACCTGAAATGCAAGCATGTTCTAAAAACTCTGTTCAATTTTGTAAAGAACCCTGGAGAGCGAGAGAACTTAAAAAACAAAAAACAAAACAAAACAAAACAAAACCACAACCACCTTGTGATTAACAGAACAACTTTCAGATCGCAGGGAAGTGTTTCGCAAACTCAAGCTCACTGACCCTTACAGCTCCTGGAGATGGAAGTTAAGTGGCTAATTAATTTGGCAGCTGGAAAACTGCCACCGGAGAATGGGAGTGACTCTTCTCAACTTCGAACCATTCAGCGTCAGGAGTCAAGAAACAATTGCAGAAGAAATTAAGTACTCTGTGAAGAGCCTGTTGATCAAGTATTTCAGCATGTGGGGGGGGTGGGGGGGCCATAACCGCACATGTGGCCAGCATCTTCCTGCTGCTTTTGAGGGAGTTTGAAGCATATAGGGGTTAAAGTTATAAAGAAAAGCAAGAGGAGAGGGTAGCAGTGAGCCCCGAGCCGTGACTCTGGCCTCACGCTGTCTACCGAGGCAATTCAGGCCACAGAATCCTGGATGGAGGGCTCCCAGCAAGGTGGGAGAGAGGGACTAGTCTTGCATCCCAGAAAAGACAAATTAGATTCCAAAATCAAATGCTCCCATCTAAACCAAATCTTCTTGAAATGCAGCTTTAAACTGATGTATGTTCAATTAGCCCCAACCAACAAAAGTGGGGGCAGATCTGCTTAACCAGTTTCTATAGGGGACCCTTTCTTTCTCTATTTTAACAAGGTACCAGTTTCCCCCACCTTTCTCCTGAAGAGCTATTCTGTGTTTTCTCGCCTGCCTTTTCATTTGAGTTGTATGTGTGAGCATGTGGGAAGCCGGGGCAGGGGAGGGGGGTTGTTGGGGGGAGGTTAGAAAGCAAGACGGCAATACCCAAATTTTTAAAGATGTTCTAGGGAATCTAAATTTTCTTGAGTTATGTGGTGTGGTGAAATCGCTTTTTTAAAAGCCTTAAAAACTACTTATATTCTAAAAAAAAAAAATCATGTGTGACAGAGTGTCATTTTATTTTACTGGGGATTTGGGAAAAGTGAGAGTCACAAAACAAAGAGCCTGTAGATTCTTGGAGTTCTAGGAGGGCGGGCAGTCATCAGGACGTGGGGCTCTAATGGGTCCCCCCACGCTGTTTATAGTAAGTTAATTACTTCATTTTCTTATTTAAGAACCTTGAACATAAACCAGAATGCATTTAAATTATTTCGTGAATGTTCTTCCACCTCCATGTTTGTTTTCTTTTCTTGCCTTTGAGTTTGTATAGATGATTTTATAGTACATATATCTGGAAATGTTTTTTAAATGTTACTGATGTACTCATGTGTTAAATATTTTATTTCAGCCAAATTATGCAGCCATGTCTACTAGAAGAAAAGGATCTAAAATAGAGGTTGTTCAGTGCCAAGCCTACCCTTTCAAATCAGGGCTCTTTGTGTACTGGCCTGATGAACAAGAATGGATGGGGGAAATAAAAATATGACAAATGTGACCATGGCAATGAGAGGGGGGATAATGACCTGGGCACAAATATTTTATTGTAAACCGTGCTAAGTAAAAACAAACACTTAGCAAAAGCAATTTGGTAATTCTATTAATCCCGAAAAGAAAAAAAGGCCAATGGAACTGGACAAAATGGAATTATATTTAAATTAATAGCACCCTTCCTGAAAATACTTACTTGAAACCCAGTTAATGTTATATTCTTTTAAGGGAGAAATGGAATATTCGATACACAATTATTGTTGAAGAGCGAGAACAACTGTTATTCAGAACATGCACACTTTCTCATGAGCTACATGTACATTTTTGTGATAAATGTATTTTTTTAATCCTCTGCCATATATTTCTTGTTTGCATTAACTTTGAAAGCAGTAATAATTTTGTCCCTGGGAGAAAACCACGAAGATCCTTAAAGAGAAGAAATGAGTCCTTCCTCCAAGCCAAATTCAGCTGATGATTCATGGCACAACTTTGTGCGGTTGCTGAATTAGAAAATACTTGAGAACAAGATTTAAATCTAAGACCTAGAAATACATCTCCAGGAGGATGGAGAAGATGCAGTAGGATTTGCCAGAGTCAGATTCCAGGGCAAAAAGAAAGATAGTCCCTTAAGGTTCCAGGACACATTGTCCTGAAGACATCGCAGAGCATGACCCAATGAGGAGGGATGGCTGCTGAGCAAATGGAACAGGAGGAATCCCTTTGGGGTCTTCCTTTCAGTATTCCCCGTACCCCACACAAAAAGCCAGTGACAGTTTCCACCTGAGCAAGAGCCCTTAGCTCAGCAGCCCAGTACCTGCAGTGGCTAACATGAAAACCGAAAAAGACCAAGGACCAACCAACTTTGCTCCCTTTGACTTCCCTGATAGAGCCCAAGAGACAGACATTCTCCCACAAGTTCTTATGTCCACTGTGGTGGTCACATATTGTCCTGTGATTTCTTTCTCAAGATTATATAAGGATGGGCAAGAGGCACTAATATTTTCCTACACTAATAGTTTCCTAATTTCCCGAAATGGAAATTAACAAATAATTAGAAACTAACATGATTTATTCTAATGTGTCACATGGAGAAAACTTGAGAATACATCTTTTTAATAACTTCTAATTTAAAAAATGAAAAGGAAATCTGCATTGGAAAATAAAATAGCAAATATATCAATATAAAACGGATTACTTTCCTCTAACATAATTTAAAACCTCAAGTCTCTATGGAAGGGTCCCATTACACTTTTATGTACATTTCTCTAAAAGCTATTTTGTATTTCATGTGGTTCAAGGGAAACTATGGAAATTTCTTTTTGCTACACAAAGAGGTTGGTAAATGAACTTCTTAGAACTCCCCCAATATGGTTATGGAATGTCTTCCAGTCATATTTTCCTTCTAAGAATATTGTCCCAATTTCTTTTATACATGCTTTTCCTACAGCAATTTGTCATTCAAAGCCTAAAATAAAATCTTCATTTGTTGCAAAATGGGGTATGTTTCCCCCCTCATAAACCATTAGTAAGCTGTTTCTACAACAGACTGGCATTTTTGGGGGGGAGGGGGGCATTGAGGGAACCATAACTGCCTGGTTTTCACAAACAATTTCAAAGAAAAATAAACTCAGGGCTAATGATTTCTGTCTACAGAATACCGACCACACTCTTACTAAATGCCAGATAATCAGTCCAGGAGATGCAATGACCAGGAAGAATTTTCCTGTAATAAAGATCTCTGTTCTGTCCCACTGGGAACGGATGTAGGAGGAAGATTTCACACTGAGTACAACTCCTAGGTAAGGCATCTGAAAAAAACACTATTAAGCGTCTTTCTAAATCACTACCTCCAAAAACACTTCCCAGACACTGTTTCTAAATTGCTTTATGGGTAACCTTTTTAAAAAATCCAAAGCCTTGGAATCGTGTGCCAACACCAACACGTGCTCTGATCCTTCCGTCCTTCGAATTATTAGAGACACTTTCGAAAGATCTCTTTAAGGTCATTCTCAAGTTTCAGAATTCCAAATAGGTCGTTTATATCTTGATTGGAAGATTATATGGTTCAGGGGGGAAAAAATTTCATTACAATTGCTTCATGCCATATTTCTCTTGAATTAATTTTCCTATTGGGAGATTAAATATAAAAGACAAAAATTATGGGCCAAATGAAGATTTATGTTTAAACCAATGAGTCTGGAAAATATTTGTTTTAGCCTAAGTGTTATGGTTTTGCCATCAGCTCACCAGAAATCTCAAACAATTTGGCTAATTACAGCGTACATCTTGGTGCTTCTTTTTTCCGTAGTAGGTATCCCGATTCATGTCTTTACTTTCTTTTTTGTTCTTAAGTCATCAGACGTTCTTGTGATTTAACATTCAATGATATACATTTCTGTATGTTTTAGAAAACATGGCTGTGAAATAAAGCTATGTATGATATAAAGGGTTTGTTGTGCTTTTTTTTTTTTTAAGCTTCTACCTTCACCTCCAAAACTATATATACTGACTGCATGT